ATCATCCTGCTTTTGTTGTTGAAAAGTTCTCCGAAAGCCCTAGAGGAAATGTCATCTTAAAGTAAATTGGAGTGTGAACGGTGAGTTTTAAGGTGTCAGTCATATTATCATTTCCAAAACTGGTAGAGAGATGAATACACTAAGATATATTTGAACAAATTAGACAGGATTTGTTTTCTTGAAAATTATATAACTGCCTCAGCTTCATCAGTAGTTTGTGCAAATATCAATGACAGATCTGAAATTAACTTGGACATATAATTGAGGAAAAGAAAAAGTAATTTAAGGGGAAATAATAAAGTGGCTGGGAAATGAATAAGATGACAATAAAATTATTGAAAATACATATAAAATGCAAGTTCCATTCATTGTGGGGAACACAATGTCAGAGAGTGCTCTTATTTTGAAAGATAATAAAAGTTTTAATTTTAAATATCAAAGCATTTATAGTTACAGGAGAGAAAGCACTGGAAATAGATAAAATTTAAACAATTGTCTGAATATGAATAAAAGATAATACCTACCTCGTGAGACAATCTATTATTGATAATTTTAAAAGCAACAAAGACATGTCAGAAAATCAAACTTTAAAAATTTTAGTTCTTAAATAATCAAATTCTGTGACATGTAACACCCAAGTCTGCGTTCAACACAATTGCTTTTTTTTCAGTTATTGAGAGTCATATGCAAAGGGCAGAAGTGATCTCTACTATGAAATAAACACATTTAAGTCTTACTCTTCAAATGGATTTAGCTTAATCACTAGTTTTACCTTGGAAACAGATCTGCTATGAAAAATAGTATTAGATATTAAAGAGTAGCTAAATGCCATTAATGTTAAGGTCAAACAACTTAGACCAAAGAAAAGGAATTAATTGCATACACATTCTATTTGGAATCTAGTTGGAATGGATGACCAAGTTGGTAACATTTCATTTTCTAAGGAATTTGGTAAACTAGTCTGCGTATGTTTTTGATGTCTGTAGATACATTGTGCTATTCCCACTCACTTTATCTTATAGAATGTTTTACTCTTCCAGTCGATAAACTGTGTGCCCTATTTGCATGCCTTATCCCAAAGAGAGCTGGAATAGCATTTGGTCCAATAGCTTCAGTAATAGTTCAGGTACAACGAACTTTCCTGGAAGCGTGGAGATCAAAGAACTCATACTTGTTGGCATTAATTCCAAAAGTTTGCTTAAGTGACCATTATTTCAATCTATAGTGACTATTCTTCAGGGTTGTTATTTGCCTTTAACTTTTGCTTCATTTTGGTTCTTATATTATCATTACCAATTGCACCATCTTTTTATTCTCTTCTTGTTTTACTCCCTTTTTTCTTCTTGGAACTATAAGAAATATGAGGCCCTAATCATCTTCTTGTACTAATATATCAGAGTTTACCAACAGATTCCTTAGTTTTTTCAAGTTACCATAACAATTCACATCCATATTTAAGAGTTTTAAGTCCCTATAACATCAGCTGGCTCTCTTCCCATTAACTATTCTGTTCCTGCGCAGGGAATTTGCCCCCATGACCCTACAAGAAAATGTTCAGAGCCAGTTTCCTCCTGGCTCTCTGAAGCAGCTGCTCTGCAGTTTCCAAGCTCTGATTAATTCCCTACATCTGATCTCAATATGTATGTACACCTTTAAATCATATTCTTTACATTCAGAGCTAAATTATATACTCACCTCACCTTGCGGCTTTGTTCAGAATAGACCAAGTAGGCATCAGTAATTCTTGACCAGGACAAGAATTATCCCTCCCCTTTGTACAAATTGACAGACACTCTTACGTTGCCTTGTGCCTCTCAAATAGCGACTTACTGAGACACCTAGGATCAGCTAACAGGATTTAATTGGATTATGTTAGAGGCTTTGTTCAGACCTGTCATAGGAAGTAATAGAAGCCTAGGTAAAAAAGAGGTTGGAATTGTTCAACCATTTGACCTCAGCATCCAAGATGTTTGGATATCATCTCCTATTTCAGTATAAGAAGATAATAAGTTCAGCCAATAGCTGCCCTGTTTATATTTTTGAAATCTCTCTCTATAATTATTAAGTACATTAGTGGAAAGTCACTTGCTTCTGTCTTAGATAATTTGCTTTCCCCAGAAGAAAAAAATAATGACATTATTTGGTTACCAAATGTCAAATTATGTCACATTTGGAAAATTCCCTTTCTATGCCACTACCACATTATATTATTCAAATTGAGATTTAAAAATCAAAGGTACTTGTTACTCCACCCATTTCAGTTGTACATTTTACTCTTTCACTCACTTAGAAAATAAAATTGGAGCTAAAGTACATATAATTTCCTTTCCTTCAAAGGTCTTCCTGTAGCTCACAGAGACAATTGGAAACTACTATTTCATAAATCATTCGAAGTATAAGGAATCATACAGTGAATTTCTAAATGCAAAACACTTCTTTCCACAAATTATTACTTCCCAGAATTCCTCGAGGGATATAGGACATATGTTTTTCCAGTGAAAGTAGCAAGGAATGTAAAGGGCTTTGTCTAGCGGTATCTAACACTCTCTCTTTCCTGTTACCCGATTATAGAATACAAGAGCACACACTGACATTGTCATGAATTTAAGAATAAGTATATTGTTATTTTATTTTTCTTGTTAGAGGCTTTGGCCTTGATCAACACGAACATTATGATAGTGTCATCTAGCAGTTCCTGTACAAGGTTGTAGGTATTCTTTAGAGGGATTCTTTTACTCTCAGTGGCTGAATGTCACCTGATAAAGCATGTCATAGATGTGATGCACCCATATCTTTCTATATACATTAACTTTTCCTAGGACCTTGTGTTGAAAGCCACCATAAAGAAATATTCTCAATAGGTCACCGAATATAACGATCTGGTTGTATCTGCTAAGAATCACATGATAAACCCTTAAGAAATAGATGATACATTAAGTCGAACTGATAATTTTAAATTAACTATCAATGACTTAAATTTTAAATTTTATTTTCATTTCAATTTTTATTGATAGTATTCAAAACAGTAATTATTTAGGAGCAGAAATAAAAAACATAACCTTAAACATCGTGAAAAATATTTTTGCAAAACAGATCCTTTGCAACAACGTTAGTTTCTCTCAATAGTAATACGGCATGTCTGAAGTTGTCTATCTGAAATTTATCTTTTCTGCATTAAAAAATACTCAGCTGCTAATGTAATTTTAGTGTTTCTGTTGGCAATCCTGTGACACCCTGATCCACAGACGCAGGCCGTCTATAGAGCACAGATAAAACGTTCAGATGGCTTTGGGCAGCACTTCTCAAGTTCCTTCCAGAACCATCATTCTACAATCTGTTTTCTTTAAAAGAGAATATATTTTTGTCTGAGATTTTTCTCCTCTGACTACTTGTTATATCTGTACTTCACTGATTTAGTCCTTTCTACTTTGTGAATGCATTTTTCTTTTTCTGAGTCTACCAATTTCTGCAAAGTTATGGCCTGAGCAGTTGATATTACTCTCTGAGTGGTTTATGTAAATAACAATAATAAAAACCCCTGAAGCTTCATCCTTGTTCCCAGTGGTCTCCCACTGACCTCTTTTCAGCTTGAAAAGGTTCTATCTATGGCTGATTTTTTTTCTCTTCCCACTGGCAATTTTCAGCCTACTGTGCTTCTTCATCTGATTTCTTGGCTCTTTCTTGACTTAAGAATTAATTATTGAAATGTATCAGATGCACTCTGAAAATGTCAGTGTATTTGGTTGGATTTACTAAGAAGCACAGGCTTTTCAGCCAACGTGATATTGGAACTGAATTTCAAGTAGTGCCTTTCTCCACACATCCTTTTCACAGGCAACACAAAAGCATAATGCAGATGATCTATGCCATCTCTGAGAAGGCTTGTGCTGTAGAAGGCCATTTGTCTCTATCACTCTAAAGCAGAATGTTTACCTTGCATTTTAGTGCCTTTTTTCTCATTGAAACTTTAACAAACACTTTGTATAGGACTACAAGAGACTCACAGAAGTTGTCCATCTATCCTCCTGCCTCCAAACCAGCCTTTGGCTAATTTAATCTCTCCAATTCAGATGGTTATTGATCCTGGTATAAAGGGAATTCACAACCTCCTTTGCATTTGGTGGAATATTCTACAAGCGTTATTCTCACAAACTCAGACACAGGAATTCACCCACTGAATAGCACAATGAGGCAGCGTGAGAGTAGAAGCAATTTACACACAAAGATTAAAATCACCTGCAAAGAGATTCAAAAGCATTTATTAAAACACTCCAGGTATGGCTTTAAGAAGGGAAGACATGCTTTAGGTCACAAGACATAATTTTAGAAGAATATTAATAAAATAATATTTTAAATAGCTTAGACACCATACTTATTAACTCATAAAACAATTATGAGGCATCTACCCTAGGCCAAGCTCTGTTTCGGGTGCTTCTGTTTCATTGGTGTAGACAACCAACAAAAGAGACAACATCCCTATTCTCATAGAACATATGTCCTCATGGGGGAAGACAAAGGACAATGTAGCAAAAGAAGGAAACGGTGTCCTTATGTTTGAAGGAGATTAGTATTAGGAGGAAAACACAGGGAATAGGGTTGGGACATGCCTGGAGGTGGGGGATTGCTTTTGTAAATGAAGCAGGCAGGGTAAGGCCTTATTGGGAGGTGACATTTGGACAAACTGACAGTGGCGAGGGAGCGGGCCATGAGGATTTTGACGGAAGAGCACTATGAGTCAGGAATAAGACCAGCGCCGAAGGGGCCAGCCTGGTGGCACAGGGGTTGAGTTCACACGCTCTGCTTCTCAGCTGCCCGGGGTTTGCTGGTTCAGATCCCGGGTGTGGACATGGCACCGCTTGGCACACCATGCTGTGGTAGGCGCCCCCCATATAAAGTAGAGGAAGATGGGCAAGGATGTTAGCTCAGGGCCAGGCTTCCTCAGCAAAGAGAGGAGGACTGGCAGCAGTTAGCTCAGGGTTAATCTTCCTCAAAAAAAAAAAAAAAAAAAAAGACCAGCGCAGAAACCTGGAGGCAGGAGTGTGCTTGAACGCTGAAGAGGGAGCAAGGGCTCAGGTGTGGGTGGAGCAAACTGAGGCAGGAAAGAAAGGAAGGCAGAGGTGCAGAAGCCTCTGGGGAATCAACCAGTAACCTGACCTGGTTGCCCACGGCCTGGCAGGCCAGCTTCTGGACTGGCTTTTACACTGACTGCAATGAGAAAGAGCCGGAGGATTTCCAGCCGAGGACTGACGTGATCTGCTTTATGCATTTAAAAGATAATTCTGGTTGCCATATGGGGGAGGGGGCTGCAGATGTTAATGTAATATTACAAGATAGAGATAATGGTAGCTTTTATCATGTGCCAGCATGGAGCTGGTGAGAAGAAACTGCGTCTGATTTGAAAGGACAGCCGGTGGAATTTTCTGACAGTTTGGAGGCAGAATACAAGAGAAAGAAAAGTCAAGGATGTCCACAAGCCTTTAGCTTATGCCCCTGGAGCAATGTCTTTTCCATTAACTGAGATGAGGAAGGCTACAAGAAATAACGTACAAATATGTACCCAAAAGTTGATAGTTTGCGTCCTATCTCCACAGCTGAAATAAATAGCTAATTGATGTATATTACAGACATTATTCATAGATATGTATGTACATGTATAATACAATATATGTGTAATATTCAGAATATTATACAACTGCATAATATGAATAATCAAAGATATTTCTCAATTCATGGGAAAATTTACGTTGTTTCCTTCTGCCCTGCCCCATTATACGAAATTTTAAATATGTTCTTGTATTCTAACTCTTTATGTCTATAGGATGAGTATCCAGAAGTTAGGCTGCTAGGTTAAATGGTAGAAAGATTTGTAAGGTTTTCTTTTACATCATTCCAGATTACTTCCAAATAAGATTCACATTTTTACCAATACAAATTCACAAATACAAGAGTTTCTGCTTCCCTGAATCTTAGCCAGTATCAGATATAATCACTTTTAAAAAAGTATTTTGTCCAGCTTGATAGCTAAATAGTATTACATTCTTGATTCCGAAATCTCCTTGACTACTTGTTATAGTTATTTAACTGGAATTCTTCTAAGCTCTCTTGAACTTTCTGAAAATAGAGAATGGTTAGTCAACAGGTTCTTCTCAAATAAATTTTTAAAATGTCCCTTTTTTTCTCAAAGATATTTCAGAAAGACAATATCACTTGTTAGACTTAGCAGGTACGTATGTTTTTTTAAAATTTAATTTAATATAATCTTTAAAACTGATGTCAGAGAGTTTTATATTCAGAGATTAAGAAATTGAATTATAAATTATGTATCTGCTCAATTGTATATTTATTGCCACTTTATGCCAACTGATTTTGTTTTAACATAGGATTATCTGTAATAACAAATGATAGCAAATTATATAAATTATTTTACATGAAATTAATCCTAATGTGCAATAAAATTGCACAGTCTTAAGTATTTTCTTTCTGAGATTCCTTCCTTGTTAGTCTCTGTCTCTTTCATTTATTTTTCTTTCTCCATTTCTCCATGATTTCTTTATTTTTCTGTTGGAATCCAAGCCCACAGCCGAGCTTACCCCCGGTCCCTCCCCTGCAGTGAAAAGATAACAACATTCACTGTCAGGAAATACAGAGGATATGCATCAGGAAAATACAATGACCAAATGAAATAAATTTTCTGGATTACTAGACCTTTTTTCATGCACAAGATATTTTTATTTTAAGCACTTTGATGGAAAACTTTGCAAAATTGCAACTGGGTCATCACTGTGTACACAAATCAATTCAGGGCAATCCACTGGCACCATCAGAGGCCAGCGAGGTAGAAATTGCTTGCGTTTCTTGACAGGTGTTATAGCTATTCAGGATTCCTTTTTGCTTATTTCCGGTTTTAGAAATATATCAGTTGATAATTAGGTTTATTTTATTATATAAATAAAACTGATGGATATTTGAGGAAACCTCGTGAACTGTTCTCTAGCTCCTCAATTCAAAGAATTTAGAAGTGAAAATAAGGAGAATTCATATTGTGACATCAGGATTCTAATCATAAAGACAAGTGTACAAGGGAACTGAGTTTTTCTGAATTCAGAGAAACATTATTCTGTGCCGCCCTTTTGCGGTGTGCTTTCCCTCCCCACCCTTCCATCCTCCCGCCCCTCATCCCCCACCCCCGCCGCCGCCCCCTTCTCTCCCTCCTCCTCTCTGCATTTCCTTCGCACCTCGCGGGGCTGTGGCTCTGTCCTGCAGCTCTCAGCCAGGCAGGGACGGCAGAAAGTCTGAAAGGCTGCTTAAAAGCTCTCTCCCTAGACTGACAGTGCTGCCTCGTGTGCTTTAGAGGCTTGATTCGGCCCAGGAGCTGCGCGGGCAGAACTGTTCAAGGATCCCTTGGACACTCTGGAGCTTCTCTTTCTTCCTGTGACTCAGAGGGTGACTACCCCACTCCCGACTTCAGTATCTCTCCCTCTGGTGGATTTTTCTCCTTGTGGATGTGCCCTATCTCCTTACCTCACCTCTATCTGGATTCTTTCCAAATCTTTTTTTAAAATCCAAATTTCTTCTCCTAAGGCCTAGGCTTTTAAAATATGAAAGTCAGGAAAACTTCATTTTTCTCTGATTTTTGAACGTGTGTTTTTCCTGTATCATGATACTGAACATTCGAACTACTGCCTGATTTAGGAAGTGGGGCCGGGTGAGAGGAGACCTACGTGGATCTGGAAATACAAGAAAGAGATGTAATAATACTTGGAAACTATGCCACCATGTTACAGTGGCTGCAGACAATGTCCTATGCTTACCTGACCCTCAAAGGTTTGCCAAGCATTTTCACTTACATTTAAAAAATTATTCTTTATTCAACCTTGTGAGAGAGAAGTTTTATAGATGAGGAATGTGTGACTAAAAAATATTAAGCAATTTTAAGGTTATCTATAAATAAACAGTTAATACATTGCTGAAACCCAAATCTTTATATTGCACGACAGATAATCTTCTACTTCACACTTCTTTTAATGTTTGTATATTAGTAGAAATAAATGTCCTCCTTCTATTTAAAAGGGAAAGGTGAATAAGACACTTGTAGGAAATAGTGAGATTGATAAGTGCTGGCCAAAGTGAAGGTGACATCCATGGAAAGGAGGGGATCAGGGTCATGGGCTCAACCCCAAACCTTATTCCTCTGTGGTGCTCTAGTGCCTTGAAACTGAAAAAAAAGGATATTAAATACATTTGCTGGCAGCAGTGCAATAAAAAATATACCTTAGCACAATCAGAGGCGCTCACAACTAGAATATATACAACTATGTACTGGGGCCTTTGAGGAGAAGACAAAGGCAAAAAAAAAGATTGGCAACAGTTGTTAGCTCAGGTGCCAATCTTTAAAAAGAAAAAAGTATATATATATATATATATATATAAATCAATGTTCCCTGATGTAATATGCAGACTTTTTCATTGTTTGAAATAAATTAAAACTTTTCCAATTTATGAAAACTTTGGGCTTTGTTAGTTCCACAAATATTTAACCAGTCTTGAGATCATCAAAATTGCTAGCATAATCAGTTTCATGTTTTTTCTTATATATTAGCTATTTTGAGGAAATGTTTTCTAGTAGATGATGTACTATGGGATGACATTCTGTGTAAAGGGCAACTAGTGTGGGCCCAATATCAAGAGGCACAGCAATGGACATATTAAAAAGCTGACGTAAATGAGTTTCCCCCTTAAGACATAAGGGCATCTGAATTAAGGGAATATTATTATTTTTTAACATTTTGCTATAATATCAAATATCGTTTCAATGTGTTTTGAAAAATTCATGTGTATGAAATTGTTTTATAAATTGAGGACTTTCTTTTTCTGTTGAAGCATAACTCCATTATGGGAAAAAGAGGACTCTTTATGTAGATTTTTTTCTGTATGAAACTTTTCAGGAACATTCCTTTTCTACACATCAAAGCCCTTCTCTTGTCATACTGCTCATAGGTCTCAATATTGTTAGCTTTTAAAATAAAAGCACTAAAAAGCTCATTTAAATTCTTCTTATAATCAACTTTATCTCATGTATGTCTAGACAGCCATTAAAAAAAAAGCACGCAGCCCTGCCAAAAGAAACTCAAGCAGACAAAATAGCCTAAATTGTCCTTGTCTCTCTTTTCTAGTCAATTTGTTTCTCTACCCAGGTTTCTGATGGGTATCTGTGCTTGTGCAGGAACTCCGACTGTATCTGCTCTAGCTGAATGCTCACTTACCTGAGTCTAATAATATGAGGGCTCTAGATGCACATGGGATGGAGAGGACCGGGGGAGAGAGATTGTGTGAGTCATACCGCATGCGGCTCAGCTTCGCTTCATCTGACAAGCCTTCCTTGCCTGGACTCACCCTTTCCACAGCTGCCCTCCTCCCACCCCATCTGGGGGGCTTTTCTTTATAGGCTTGCATGGGGCGCTGTACTTGCCTCACTCATGGCATTACCACCCTTCGTTGTCTTTACTTATCTGTCCCCTTACTGTCATAAACTGTAAGAACTTTATAGTTCCTAATACGGTGCTTGGTAATCCATAGGTGTTCACTGTATGTCTTCTGAATAAATGAATTACGAAAATATTGAAGCAGTGCAGCTGGATGAAGGCAGCCCAAGATGTGCTGTAAATGAGACCAACAATAACAATACTGAAAATGGTAACAGCGAGCAGTTACTGAGCACTTACTAAGTGCAGAGACTGTTCACTCATTATCCCATTTCATTTTTGTTACAATCCTAGAAGAAATAGAATTGTAGGGGCTTCATTGTTATGAAAATAATTTGCATGATAATTATTTTTCTGATATCTCCACTTTCCTAGTATAAGCTATTTTTTTCCTACTTATCTCCACATTATTAAATGCTTTAATGAAGTGCAGATCAATTTTGTTATAAATTGCCAGTCTAAAAGGAGAGTGTTACCTGTTCTAAAAAAGATACAATTTAGGATATATCTGTATCTTAGAACATTTGTGGTGCATTACATAGAAAAAATGCTAGCAGGAAAGTCCATGCAATAAGTAAAAGGATAAATGTGTTTTGTGTATTTCTGTTGTGTGCCTCCGCACAGGGGAGAAGACATATGTGGGAGCAAAACTACTGTAACTAAGCCCAGAACATTTTCATATGCAGATGTTCAGGAATCCACTGGGGATTGAAGTAGATTAAATGTCACTAGCTGATTCTACCATTCTTGTTTTCCATTTCAATTCTAATACTTCTACTTAAATCATTTTTGTTTGCTTGCTTATTAGAAGGATTAGAGATACATTTAATATCAATTTTTTACTGTTGTTGCTATTGTTTGTTTGCTTTGTTTACGGCATTAGTTTCTTTTGTTTTAGTAGTATAAACTGTTGTGTTTTCTCTTTACTAATGGTCAGGAGTAAAGGGCAAACCTGTTTCATTAAGGTGATAGGACTTGTCCCCTGCCTTACTCTTGTCATTCTCTATTAGATATGCATCGTAAGCTCTGAGAAGTTTGTTGAACTATCTTAAGACACTTTTTCTATTCTGTTTCCATTTAATATCAAAAGTTCAACCTTGATCATACATTTTCATTTTGCTGAAAATGTCTAGTAATTTTCTTGCCAACTCCACATCATTTGGGATGGGTTTTCATCTTGAATGAGTTTATTTTGACGCCCAGTTAGCATTTTCTGAAATGTGAGTGGTGTCTTCTCTGCTACTTAATTTTCTGAGGTCATCCCCAACCTTTCCAAAATTTTCTATTTATCTTCTGTCTTTAATCTTGCATTTGGAAACTTGAGGACAAATCTAAATTGTTAGAGCTTGCACAACTGAACACACAAACAATCTTCCTCTTGATTTCTTGCCATATTTGAAATATTCTGTGCTTCACTGAAGAATACTTGAGTTACAGCATTAGGCATTGTGGCAAGTATATCTAATATTCAATTTTAATGTTCCTTAAATATACTTGTAATGCATATGGAAAATAAGATGAGAAAAGCATTTTCATTATTTCCTTTTCCAATGGTAAGACGATTCAAATTCTTTAGTTGGACAGTTTTATAGTTTAATAAACCAATTTTATTAAACCTATTTTAAAGTTTTATAAAGCTATTTTAAGATTGAAAAAATATCAAATGCTATGGTGCGAGATCATTGGAATTTTGGACTTCTGATGTAGCTCTGACACTGAGAGAAAAAATTTGAAATTCATTTTATCAACTCATTTATTAAGCTAGGTTCCACCATGCTCCACTGTGCTTATCCATGGGGGCACAAACATAACTTCAAATGTGAAACTACTTACCACATCTTATAATTTAATAAGCTTAGTAAGAACTTGATTCATGGAAAGTAAACACTTATAATTCTCTTCCTCAGAAGTCTCATTACAAAATTAGATATAAGTATTAGATTTGGAATTCAGAGACAGAGGAATTCAATATTAACTAAAATAAATGCAATAGATCTTTTTAAAAAGTAATTAACCAGGAGTCTTGAGAACAGGAAGGAAAGAATGTAGGTTAAAGTTGGAGTTGCTAAAGCATGGGGAGTCAGTCAGCTAGGGAGAAAGCCCAGAGCTGAAACGAGAAAGGGGCAGTGGCAGTGGTCATGGAAGGGCATCTAGCCATCACACTAAACCTAACCACCAACCCTAACCCCTAACTTTAACGCTAACCTAATCTCTAGCCCTAATGTTAACCCTAGCCCTAGTCAGTGAGTCTCAAACTCATTGAGCAAGTATGTTTGGGGAGGAAAAGAAATGCATATGTCTTATCATAAAGTGAACCAGTTGTAAATTGAGCTTCATTTTTCCAACGGAAAATATTTTTCTTGATTTTGAACAAACTCTTAAAGATATTCTTGGCATGGTTAGATGTCATCTTACAATATTTATTGATCAATTTAATAATAGACATTTAAATTAGTGTATCTTATAAAATCCATTAATTGAGAAATGGTACTTTATTTCTATTCACATATTTCGTGGAAGTTTTATTCAAAGTTCTCACATATAACTTTGTCATCAACGTCTTCCATCACCAAAGCTGCTTGAGTCATTTAACATGACTTTCCCATAGCACATCTTCACTGCTATTTAAGCTGTCTTAGATATGGCAGCACTTTTTGATTTGAGGCAGGCACTGGACATTTTCATGCAAGCCTAAAGTATCCATTTGCTATTCAAAATCTGCATAAGGTAACACTTAATATATTTCTTAAAGGATCTTTTAAAAACTTGACAGTCAACTCTTGCATTATCAAGGCATATGTTTTTGAGTAAGTCCATCTTAAATTCTGTCTGCTTTTATTGTTCTGTATGTATAGACTGTGTCAGGCGGCTTTTATACATATTCAGAACTAGGACTAAATGAGGTCATTTCGGTAAATGTGTACAATCTTTATAAGGACTAATATCTACAGTCACTTTTCTCAGTCACAATTTTTAGATGGAATGAATCCATCAGGTTCCCAGCAAGAAACTCTCAACTTAAGATAACTTGAAGAGAATTTAACAAAGAAACTATTAACAAAGGAGTGGGCGGGGTGTAGGGAAGTCACAAGGCACAGTGCCGTATCTGATATTGGTAATGGGGAAGTTATCGCCAACCTTCAGCTTGAAGATGCAAGAAGAGGTAACGACTTCCAAGATAAGAAAGGAGGAGCAGTATAGAGAGGTCTACCTTCAGAGGTGAGACCTGGACAGCTTGGTGGCCCCTACAGGAAGTGAGACTCTGACCTCTCTCTCCTCCGGTCCTCTGATGTCCTGCGAGGGTTCTGCCTTTGTTGAACTGAAGCTAAAGCCAGAGCAAGAAAGCCTATCGTGGAGGTCAGCCTGCCCAGGCAGAAGCTGGAGGAGCACGGCAGAGTGTGGGGCGTGCATTTAGACAGGCAAATAGAACTTATCACAGGGAAGACTTCAATCCCTCTCCTCCCCTCTCTCTTCTTATTTTACACATGTGCACATATATACACACACGTGTGTGCGCACGCGCGTGTGTGTGATATAACAAATAAGTTCGGCTTTTCCAAAACCCATCGACACGTGGGATTTGGATTCCTGCTATACTAAAGGGTTAAACTTTTGAATTGTCACCCAGGAGGAAGGAAGGTCAAGAGTTACCTGGGGAGAAGAACGTCAGTTGTTAGGCCGCCTGTCTCGCAGAGCCGCTCTCCAGTCTCACTGCCCAACTCCAAATACTAAGAGCCAGGTTGCCCCACCTGCGGAAGGGAAAAGAGCCCTGGAATTTTATTCTGCAAGTAAATAAAGAGTTTCATCATGCAAATATAGAGTTGAGGTCATAAAAATAATTTTCAGAAAGAATTTAATCATTCCATCATTGAATGTAAATAATAATCTGGATAACACTGGCCAACTAAAGTGGGTAAAGGAAAAGAATACCTAAAACAGAGGCTGAAAAACAAATCAACTGGAAAAGATGCATAGTAGACTTTTCAGGATTGCCCATGGTGCCTGGGTAAGTACAAATAAAAGATATGCCCAGAGATTTTATTTCTGTCACGCAGCTGCAAATGTAGGCAGGTCAGCTTCCTATGATTGATAATATTGTTTTTACTTGTAATATGACAGAATTTTTTTTAAAAAAAAAAAAACAACTATGCTCCCAGGGATATTAGGAGCTGTGCTACATACAACAGATGTATAGTGTATATACAATATTCAAACACATCAAAAACTTTTCAAATCCTGTAGCATTATCAGAAAAGTTGTAAAACAGTCTTGGCTTTGGTGAGGCAAGCAAGAAAGCACATTATAAAGGGATGTTGGAGGAGACAAAAGGAGGAAGGAGGAAGGGGGAGGAAATGCAAGACAGAATAATTATGAGAAAACGATTTTGGGAAAGAGGAGAGTACAAAAGAAACAGAAAAAAGCTGTGATTGGAAGGAGAAACAGGGAAAAAGCAGGACCACTGAAATTCCACATAATTCTAATGAGAGACATTTTTTCTAATTCTAATGAGTGGCATTTTTTCCTTTCATAACAGCCAGTGGATTAACAGGCACACACACGTACACATACACCACACAATCTGTGTGGAGTGATATAAAAAGTTAGTCTCTTTCTAGACTACCTGCCTAAGTGTTGCTCTCTGCCACACCAGCAGAGGTGCTGCGCTAGTAAGTAACGATCTGAGCAGAGAAAGCAGAAACTAGAAGGGATGAGTACAAAGTGTGTGGTCAGGGCAGTGAAAATCATGAGGCATGCATGCGTGCAGCACTTCCAGACCAGGGCTTTGTCAGTCACCATCTCACATGAGAGTCACTGCAGTCCTACAAGGTTAATTGAATAGTCTTTGACTTATCCTCCGTGATACCTTTTATACATTTTTCTTATGTTTTTCACAAGATCATTATCCATATAAATCAAGCAACCGTGGGTTTGCACTTCATTGGATTTTCCATTCTGAGCATTTATTCCACTTGATCACTAAATAATGCAAATCAAGTTCCCCTGCTAACGACAAAAATTACTCATGACACTTGCTGAAGACAGTAAAGCTGACTTTGTTCAAGGGGGGACACGGTGACAGGTATACTGACCACTGCAATGGAGTCTTTCAGTGGGGAAGAGACACTGAACTCATCCCCAATTACCACACTGGCAAGGAGCAGGGTGGAGGTGAGTGAAAAGAAAATTACTAAGAGGAATTATCAGAGGTAAGAAGGGATTCTGGTGGGGATTCTGGCCAAAGGCTGGCCTGGATGAGCAGACATCACCTGTGGGATGCAGGAGGATGAGTATCCTGATTAGGTCTTCAGCTATGGAGGATGAGAGATTCTGACTAAACAGACTTAGCAGGATTTGTGCTAAAATTGGGCGATGAAGAGAATAACACAGAAGTCCAAAAGCAGTGCAGACGTAGAGGTTGGTCAAGGAGAGAATCTTTGTCACCCAAAACAACTTTTGTGAGAATGCAAAACAACAACACATTACTGACACAAAATGTGTGACAAGACATTTTTCTCCATAAAATGAACATTAATATTATCATGCCTTTCTAAACGTTTTTAAAAAGAGAAACTAACGGTTCAACAAAATTTAAAAAAATATCACTACAGAGCATTAATGTCTTTTAAATAGTATGTAGTTCAAAAGGGATCTTGGCTTGTAGAAAGATGAAATAGAAATACCCTTAGGAGGTAAAACACTTGGATTTAAATTAACAGTGAATTATGAATAATCCAGACTCACCTTTTTTTAGTTCTGTGTGACAGAAAGCCCACTCTAACACCTCAACCATGTGTGTCATTTTCAGTACAAATTCTCTAACACCAACTAGGTCCTACAGTTTAACTCAATTCTGACACTAACTATCTGGATGTAGCACAGACCCCCAAGATATGGCACAGTCCCACAAGACTGTCCCCACTTCAGATGCCATCTGGAAGTCTCAGGTTTCCCCAGGTTACCCACACTTCTGCCTGGCTGACTATAAACTTGGGGGCTCCCAAGACCCCATGTCAGGTTACAAAATTTCCTAGAATGAGTCACAGAACTCAGAAAAGTACTATACTTAAGACTGCAGTTTTATTATAAAAGTTACAACTCAAGAACAGCTAAATGAAAGAGATGCATAAAAGGTGGAGAGCAGGTGGGCCCAGAGCTTCCTGTTGTCTTCTGCGGTGCCACCCTCCCAGTACACTGATGTATTCAACAACATGGAAGCTCCCTGAACCTTTGTTGAAGAGGTTTTATTGTGACTTCATTACTTAGGCAAGACTGATTAAATCATAGCCACGTGACTGAACTCCATCTCATGCTCTCTTCTCCGCCCTGGAGGTTGTGGGGTGAATGAAATTTCAAACCCTCTAGTCATTTGGTCAGCACCTTCCTTGCAACTATCTAAGGCCCACCATAAGTTACCCTGTTAGCATAAACTCAAGCAAGTTGAAAGGGGCTTATTATGAAGACTAAAGACATGCATATCATGCAGGAAATTCAAAGGGTTTTTGAAGTTCTTGTGTTGGTAGCCCTTGACAAAGACCAAATATATTTTTTTATTATACCACAGTATAAAAAGGGATTTATTGGTTTAGATATCTAGAAAGTCCAAGGTGAAGTTGGCTTTAGACATGATGAGATGCAAGGGTTCAAATAACATCACCATTATGTCTCTTTCTCATCCACCTTGGCTTCACTTTCTTCTAACTTTGCTTTATTCTTAGGTGATCTTTGGCCACAGTGGGCAGTGATGGATTCTAATAGTTCCAGATCTTCGTTATCTACATGACCATTGATTCTCCCAATGTCAGAATGAGAAAAAGACTTTCTGTGTGTATATGTGTTTATGATAATCCTCGAAAGCAGACGATGACCAGTTTGAGTCATGTGTCTGTTCTAGACCAATCACAATTTCAGAGGGATTGGGTACTCGGAGATGCTGGTGTGAGTCTTGTGTTCCCCTTTACGAAGAAGGAGAAGAACCAAATGATTGGCTGTTGCCACCCTCGACTCACCTCGTTGGAAGAAAGTCAGTTCCTGAAAGTAACAGATGCTAGGCAGAACAGAAAGTACTAAAGGTCTACTGCAAGCCTTTCCGAGGTATTTCCCTGAAGCATCATTTTTAACCAAGAAGAAAAGGTAATAACAAGGCACTGAGCACAATGCAGAACTTGAGGCAATTATAGAAACAGAACAAAGCCTGAAGTCTTTGAGTTAATCATTAAATATTAATGAGAATAAATATTTCAGCAAATCTCTCTTATAGTTATTTTTATTAAAAGCCACAAAAAGTATGTTTTATTGCCTCTAACAGTCTTCCTGTATCCTGAAATTTTTAAACGTGTTTGCAGAAATAAACTTATGATACTAAGTATCCACTCACTCCAGCTTCAAGATGAAGTTAGTGTTGTGATTTTGAACTTTGCTTTAGAATTAGAAAATTAATTTCCCTCAACCCTTAAAAGGAGCTGTTAATTTATCACAATAATTGAACAAACTGAGAATTCTGTTTCAACTCAGCATGTGGTGTTTCTTGTTCATAAGTTTTTTTTAAGGATTTTTGAAGAAGTTGATTAATTTTGATAAAATCTGATAAATCTCTAAAAAGTCACAAAGATGAATCTTTCCACAGGTCCCTCAATTTCTTATTTTGAAATGACATACATTTAATGGCTTTAAATTACTGAGTTTTTTTCCTTTAAAAATAGATTTCAATGAAATTTGTTTAATAAGTGGGAAATGGAAAAGTATGTTGTTACACTCATTATGGTTTGCCAATAAGAAACCATAAGTAATTTCTAAATGACAAGACTGTTATAATAGATGCTAGATAATGATTGAAGACATTACATATTGAATAGACATATAATTAGGTAATTCAACTACATTGGTCACAATCATTCTACTTCATATTGTATTTAAGCCAAGAATGATATTTGTAAAAGAAGATCTTGTGGCAATTGCTTAATATTCTTGATCTTGACATTATATGTTTTACATTTATTTTTCAGATATAGAGACACCATATTAAATATAAAAAGTATTTATCAGACTGATATCAAGTAATTGGTTTTCTTTCAAATTATCTCAGCATAAATATTAGGATTATGTTACTAATTTTTTACTCTTCTCTTATTTTGATCCAAATTAAACAATATTGAATATTCCTCTGTGATTGAAAATGGATTGCTGTTTTATTTCCAACTCTTTAACTCTATGATCTTAAGAACTATTGATAGGGTTATTCCCTAAAGTTGAAAATGTAAGATACAGAAAAAGTGTATGGTACGGAGAATGGAGTAATGGAAAATGAGGCTGGAGAGTGGAGTGAGAGATGATTCAAAAACTAAAGGAGGATTTTCAATTTAATCCTTATGATTCATTGAAAAATCTTTAATTAGTAAGGGACGTATTCAAATTTATGTTTGAAAAGATTTTCTAGGTGGTACTTTAGAGGATTGTTTTATCTTAGGCCAACTGGATTTAGTAACCAAGTGGAAGTTTTATAGATTTCACCAGGGTGTGGAAAGGATGTAAACGACCACAGACTAACAGATGGAAAAGTGTAAAGTTGAGTTGCTTTATTTGTTTTTTAATTACTCCGGATATATTATTGGCTTGGCAGGGCTCAGTTAGAGACAAAAGCGGGTAGAAAAACAATAATGGGCAAGGATATATATAAACTGAGAAGTGTTTTGTTGGTAGCACAGAGTTCAGTAAATTAGCACCAGGTTAGTACTGTCACATAATTTGCTGGTAGGAGCACAACAGAGCAGCTTGTAAGAACAGATGAGCCAGGGCACAAATAAAGCAATGAAAATAAATCAGAGAAACTTAATTTAGCATTGGACATCTAGATGGCGGTCAGTGTGGAGATCATTATGACCATACTGCCATGCACAGAGGGGACGCAAAAAATATTTGTCGATGGTAATTATAAACTCAAAAAGAAACATGACTAGCATATTACCCCCATCTAAACCATGTTTGTCCAGAAAACATCTAGATCTTCATCATAGTCATCAAAAATGCCTTGCAGAGAAATATTTTCACCATTATCTCGACTTTAAGATACTTTTAAATATTATGTGTTTCTCTCTAAAACAGAGGCAAATTTATTACACACTGTATTCCATTTCCAGCAGAATGTCTCATCTGTGCATGTTTCTGATGATTCAATGTTTAGTTTGGTTTTATTTGAAACAGAGGTTTAAGAATACAATCCATTAAATTTAAAAACAAATACTACTGAATACAACTAAGATTTTCAATGGAGAAGTAATCTCACCCGGGATTAATCTCTTTGACTATTATACAGATATTCCTTGACTTATGATGGGGTTACATCCCAATAAACCTATCTAAGTTGAAAATATCATAAGTCAAAAATACATTTAATACACCTAACCCACCAAACATCACAGCTTGGCCTTGCCCAACTTACATATGCTCAGAACACTTACGTTAGCCTACAGTTTACCAAATCATCAGACGTAGAGCCTGTTTCACAGTAAAGTGTCAAAGATCTCATGTAATTTATTGAATATTGTACTGAAAGTGAGAACAGAATGGTTGTATCTATTGTTTACCCTCATGATGGCGTGGCTGATTGAGAGCTGTGGCTCGCTGCTGCCCAGCATCCCGAGAGCATAATACCACGTATCACTAGCCAGGGAAAAGACCAAAATTCAAACATTGAAGTATGGTTTCCACTAAATGCATATCAGTTTTGCACCATCATAAAGTCAAAAAATCATAAGTCAAACATTCGTTAAGTCGAGGACCATCTGTATTGCCAACTTTATTTGAACTTGTCACTCTCACATTAATTCCTCATTTTTTTGTGTACTAAAAGTCTCAATGTTCTTGCTGACTGTTGAAAAACTTGCCCACATGTTTTTTTTATTTTGGCAAAAGGAGAGAAAAAATATAAATATTATTATTATTGTTTTTTTGAGGAAGATTAGCCCTGAGCTAACATCTGCTGCCAATCCTCCTCTTTGTGCTGAGGAAGACTGGCCCTGAGCTAACATCTGTGCCCGTTTTCCTCTGCTTTATATGTGGAATGCCTGCCACAGCATGGCTTGCCAAGCGGTGCCGTGTCCACACCCCGGATCTGAACTGGTGAACCCCGGGCCACTAAAGCAGAGGGTGCACTTAACCACTGCACCACCAGGCCAGCCCCTAAATATTATCTTTAATGCATGGTCCCGAGCATCAGAAAAGGTGGAGTGGGGATCCCGGCCCGGTAGCATAGTGGTTAAGTGCATGTGCTCCACTTTGGTGGCCCAGGGTTCACAGATTTGGATCCCGGGTGTGGACCTACATACTGCTCATCAAGCCATGCTTTGGTGGCATCCCATATGCAAAATAAAAGAAGAGTGGCACAGAAGTCAGCTCAGCAACCATCTTCCTCAAGCAAAAATTAGGAAGATTGGCAAGAGATGTTAGCTCAGGACCAATCTTCCTCACCAAAAAAAGAAAGAAAGAAAGAAAGAAATGAAAAAGTAGAGTGGGAGTGAGACACAAAACCTAAAATAAATTATTCAAATAAGGTATACTACTCAGACCTAATAAACTCCACTTTGATAATAGGAATAAAGAACACCATTGCGTATGTAGCTCAGGCTATTATTTGGGACAGATTCTCATTCAGTGTTCAGATTCTCATTTACTATTTGAGTCTCAACTCATACCAAAGCTGACTTCATTTTTTTAAAATTATGTCAATAGACAATAAATGCTCAGACTTTGATCTTCCTTTTTGTTATTGTTAGACATCTTTACCTGAATATAAAGGACACTGAATTCCTCTGTCAGAGTTGTTCATTCCTGCCTGGCTTTCTTCTGCATTGTCCTAATTGTCCCCAAACATGTCCATTCAAAATTCAAGCAGGGAAAGAAAAGGTAACACAGAATTAAAATACGTTCACTTATGATGAAATACACTATAAATATGACACAATACCACATAATATAATGAAGTAATTTATGCTGTTTTATAAGCAATCAAGATCGCTCTTACCTGGGCATGAAAAACACTGTTCTCTAGAATTTGCCTGCTCTCAATACCATCATTGTACTCTGGGGGAGGAAAAATAATTTTCCCTGTACCCTTCCAGGTTCTTAGCTGAGACACCACTGTAATAAGAAGACAGATTAACGGGAGAAAAACAAAGACAAGTTTGGTAACTTGTAGGGACCCAGGAAAATTGAGTAACGCTTGCAAATGGCCACTGCCACCACCTTAATTATCATCTGGAGCTAAAGACAAAGGGGCATGTTGTGAGGGGATGGCAGATATGGGAGGTGACAGTAAACAAGGGTGAGGTTGTTATGCAGATTTAAGTTGTTGCTTTTTCTCATTTATAGAGTTTCTAGAGATTAAAGTCTTCCTTCTCTTCCTGGTACAGAGTAGGAGACACCCTTATAAATGGAGATTTCTCTTATAAATGTAAATGGCTTTTACAAAAGGGTAACTTCTACTCAGTTTTCAGCGCTTCCCCTGTGACTGCTATTGTCAAAAAGTAATCAGCTTAAAATAATCCTTATGCCTAAGAGACATCTTCTGTTCCCCGAGCTGGAGGTTCTGCTCCCCGTCGGTAGAGGGCAGTATCTTTTAAGTGTGGTATATAGGAAGGGACCAGTAGGAAAGAGAAGGGGTTTATAATCTGTTTATTCATAAGTTGCCACGTAGCACTTCTGCTTTTATTCCCTTGGCCATAACTTAGTTACACGGCTATACCTAGCTTCAATACCTAGCTTCAAGAGCATCTGGAATATCGTCTTTATTTGGGGAGTTATGTGCCAGATAAAACTGGGGAAGGACAACAGTTACTGGGACATGATTCGCAGTCTCTACCACACTTAGAACCTTGGGAACATTAAGTCATGTCCTCTGTCTATTTTGATGTTTATTTGCTAGTTTTTCAACAACAGAATTATACACTCTTTTTCCATGAACTTTCTCTAAGTTCTGTTATAAATATTTTCTATGAGTATAAAAGATTTATTGTGATAAATGAAAGCATGTGCTAAATACATAGACTTAAAAAATAGTAGGTAAATTTATGAGGAGACTCCAGGACTTCTTTTGTTAGTGTTTTACTGTTCTATAAAATATTAGAAAGACCTTTTGTGGTCTTTCATTTGAGTGTGTTTGTAATTTCATTTTTATAAAAGAAATATCCATATATAATGTCAGACTTGCGAGAAGTGCAGAGTTTTCTGAACTCTCACTACTCTGAAAGAAAT